GCTGGAGGGGGACACGGAGGAGGAGGAAGCTGTGGAGGAGCTGCAAGGGCCGCTGTGCGCTTTGGTCCAGAACGTCAACATGCTGCGCAACATAGTGGGACCGGCCTGTATCTTCCTCAGACAGGGGTTCACTCAGAGTCAACTTGTACGTATTCATCACCTTCATCATTACATCAGCAGAATTAGAGGTGACTTTATGTTCACTGTCATCTGTCCTGGTCTCCTCTGGAAATGTGCATGGGTATTCAGCTCATTGAGTGTGAGCCCGAAGCTTTTATTAAAACGCTTTATATTTGAATTCTTCTAAACATAATAAAATAATGGACCAATAAGTGGAAGAGTGGCAGAGTCCAAGTATCTCAGGGTCTTGTTCACGACAGATTCATCCATAAAGTTTCTGCAGTGCTTTTCCTGTATCGGACTGTTGTGGTGACAAGGGAGCAGAGTTTAAAGGCAAAGCTGTACATTTAGCCGTCAATTTACGTTGACAGCCTCACCTATGGTTATGAGCTTTGGGTAATGACCAAAAGGGCAATCCTGGAGTAAAAGTCATAAGAGTAAAAATTTAGATTCTGTGCAAACAAATCCGGCCACTTCATACTGTCTTTGTTATTACAACATATTTTGTATTTTGGATATTAATGTGAGTGAGTTACTGTTTGCTGTTGTTGGGTGAGAGTGGATTGGCTGAGGCAGCGTGCATGGTTCTCCTTTTTACTTGTCTGTGTAAAATATGTGACAGAGGTCAAAACATACATCATGTGGAAACCATGATGGCTGCAAACTCTTTTGAGATCCAGGAACCAGTTTACTTGTTATGGTTTGAGAGTTAGGTACCCCACACACGTTGCACTAATTGCTTGTAGATGAGTGCCCTGCCCAGAGATGAGCAGGGTCGTAGTCATAAATCCAGCCTGAGTTTGTGTGTGAGACCTGGAGCGGATGGATGAGCTCATCTGTGGATCGAGCTGCTAATTGAAAAGGTCCATTATGACGACTAATCGATAAAGGTACAGCTCTCAGTCCTTGGGCTGACTTTGGAATGTCGTTACAACACTGGGGTTTCCATCCATACTTGTCCGTCTCATCTATTCACACTTCCGAGGCGTTCCCAGGCCAGCTGATGGGCACAGTCCCCCCAATCCCCAGAGGCGGTCAGGAGCCATCTGAACTTCAGAGAGCGGCGACTATACTCTGAGCTACTACTTTGATTTTGTATATTATTTTTGCAGTGGTGCATCTTGTGTTGAAATGATGTGTGCCGTTAGTGATACTTGTGAAGCAAAAAATACGAAAAAATAAAATGTGAACCATGAAACTGAAGTGTCTGAAGTGAAGTAGTCTGTTATGCCCATCCATTTAATGAATATATTACAGAAAATTGATCACAAAAACACGGGTAGTGACTGCTACCTTTGCTGCAGTAACACAGTTGGTCCTCTGTGCTACACTTGAGCCGTTATTAGCGCTTCTTTTAAGGTCTCTGCTGTATTTGTATCTATATTTCTGCTGCTCAACCAAATACAAACTGTATACACCAGGAAGTCATTTTCAACACCTGAGTTCTTAATTTTATCGATCTCTTTGTATTCCATCATGAAGGGGCATGTCCTCCCATGGTCCCCCCAGCAGCTCACCCTCTGTTCCCCACTGTCTGCAATGTTCTACCCTTGTGCTTAATGTTTCGTTCTGGATAGTGGCTCTTACGCTCACTGGTCCTGGCCCTGCGTCATTAAGGCTCTTGTAGTCTCGGGGTGCTAGATTTGGGATGGGACCCTCTTTGGTTATAGGAGCATTGGTGTTTTAACGTGTATCAATTTGAGCTTCTTTGGTTATAGGAGCATTGGTGTTTTAACGTGTATCAATTTGAGCTTCACAGCAAAAAGGTCCTGGGTTCAATTCCACCTCCAGACCATACATTTTCTGCGTGTAGTTTGAATGTTTTTTCCTCTGGGTGCTCCTGTGTCCCCCAGCACTAAAACCTGGTCAATAGGTCTGCATGGATGGTAATGATCCAAAGCTTGCGTCTCGATACCGTGTGTGGAGTGAACGGAAGAAATATTTGTATAACATAACATTAACATTGTAAAGTGCTTTGTGTGACCTTGGCCTGTGAAATGTGCTATATAAATAAACTGTATACTGACAATTGTACTTGGTAAATGGTATTATAGAAGTGTCTTGAGTATTGAGGATTTCACATGACCTTGGTTAGAGCCTGGAAAGCCCTGAATTAAAGTTGGCACGAGGCTTTTCTGTGTGGAGTTTGCATGTTCTCTCTGTGTCAGCGTAGGTTTGAGTGATATGATTGTGTGTTTGTGAAAGCAAACAGATTTGAATTTGAATCTATTGATTTGATGGGGGAAAAATCAATGCGCCCATTGTTGAAAAAAGGCTACTTTCCACCCGTATCGAGAGTCCCTTTACAATGAAACAATCAGATAGAAATTATCCATCGTTACAATATTCTGCTGTCCAATGCAAACAAAGAAAAACGTCAATAAAGACAAATCCTTAGTTCAGATTCAGATTCAGAATCATTTTTATTGCCATGTATGTAACAGGAAATTGCTAGTTTTGATTAATCTAATCTAAAGTTAATCTAAGTTATTTGTTTGTTATAAAAATATCATAAACCTGTCTTTTTTGTACTTTTTAACCCTAAAATAGACTTACTCACCTCTGGTCTGTGAAAGGCGCTATATAAATAAAGATTACTTACTTACTTACTTTCTAACTAAACATCTACAAAGCACTGTGCGACTCTCTGGAGGCTCTGCCAACTGTTGCTTTGTGTGGAAAAAGCCCGACTGTGGCATTTTTACATATCTGTATCTCCATGGAGACAAGCCACCAGACTAAGTTATGGGTAGATCTGTGGAGAAAGGCCTTTAGGCAATGAAATTAAATGAAATATATGACATTAAATGAAATATATGAAAAAAGGAAGTTGCATGACGTTTTCTGTAATCTCTTTTGACTCTTTTTTTTCTCTAAGACGTCTGGAAAGACCTTTGAAAACCATTCAATTTTAGTCTTTTGGACCATTAACTTCAGTGAATCAGAGGCACTGTGGTTATGGCTATCATGGCTCATTTACTCTATTTGTAAGTGGTAACAAATCGCCCAAATCGAGAATAAAGTCTGTATTTCATTTGGTACATATAAAGCAGAGTAAGGCTTCTGTCAGGAAGTTGGGTCTAATCAACTGTAGAACAACCAACTCTTGGGTTTTAACAATTCCCCCATATCATAAAGTAAAAACGTCCCAGTGGAAAACATGTAAACTCACTACATACATGTTTTGGCCTATTTGTGAGTTGGAGTCCACACTGGTCATGATTCATACAATTAGAGAGATACAGTACATCTTTACTTTAATCTTTCATAATTCCAGAAGTCAAATTTTTATATTTTAACTATTTTCTGGCAATACTGCAGACTTTTCTTCTGGGGGGTTTTTATGTGACCAAATCAAAATCCTGTTAAGAGTGATTCATTATTTCACATCTGCATTTATTCCCATGTGTCAGCAGGAAAACTCCCCAGTCAGCAGACTAATGAAAAAAAACATGTTAATCCTCTATGATTTGAAGTACAGTTTAGAGCAGTAATCTCAGTTGTCTCCTGTGCTTCTTAATCCAGCGCTTTATAATTCATAGATCAGAAGTATAATTCATTCATGTCCCTGACTTTGAAATGAGCACATCATGTTTCTTCTTACAGGTAAATCCAGGGCTCACAGATTACATCTCTTCTGACCGTTCATTGAATATTTGCTGCCCCAGACTGTCTTTTTTTATATATTTATCTGAGTATAGTGTGTACAATGTGCACAACACTAATGATAAGATACAATTGTTTGTTTGTTTGTTTATATACTCATTTGAGGCATTTTACATTAGGCACAAGTCACCTCTTGTCCATCATAGTTTCCAACAAAAATAATCAAAGTATTGCAAACATGCAAAGAGGGGAAAAAAATACTATTAAAGAAAGCAAAATACTTAATAATTATAATCACTTTGCTTGGTGCCTATGCAGTTGGGGGCCTCTCATGTTCGAGAGGGTCCCATGATTTATAGGTTTCATGGATTTATTTAGATAGAGTCACACTGGAGGAGTCTTACAGTTTTTCCAATAAGATTTTACTGCAAATGGCAAATGCATTCTTGTATATTGTATCTATCAAGGAGGAGGTTAATGGTAATGTTTTGATTACACACTGGCGCCCCGAGCATTGGGTTGAACACAAATGAAAGTCGCTGCACATAATAAGTCTGAGTCAGTGTTTTGAATTGCAGAGCATATGTGCATCAGTCTGCAAATGATGTTGATCCTGATGAAAAAAAACATGAGATTGGATGATATTATGGGTCGGATCAACTCAAAGGTTGTAGGTTTGTGCAGATCAAGCAGTTGTGTAATCCACGTCAGAAACCCCTCTCAGACAGATCAACCTGGCGCAATAAAAGAGGCCGAAGGGTCGGTCAAAGCACACAGTACTGCAGCTGTACAGTAGTATTTACAGTACAGCACATTGGCTTTGTCCATGATGGTCCTGTTAATTCTTTTTGTATGTTGTTAAAAATCAAGTGATCCATGTGTTACGTTATTATTTATTTTATACATCCCCCAAATTATTGAGAACTGCTAAAAACAGCAAAATTAATCTGGGGGTTATTGCTCTGAATACATCTATTTATTTATTTTTTTACACCACAAATAAACAACAAATTTTTCTAACACTTGAATCAGATTACATTCATTGTTTTTTTTTGTGTGTTTTTTTTGGTCTTTGAGGGACAAGCAAAATGTTGCAGTATGTCTCTCTCTTTCTAAACAACTACTTTTAAAGGTTTTCCAGATCCAGATTTAAAATAAATTCATTAAAATCCTGTATTTCTATTTTGTTTGTTTTTTTGCAGTGAAGTGAAGCTGCTGTTTTTCTCACTCTCACAACCTTTGCTTCTTTGTGTCTCTTGTGTGTATTCCTGCAGGATCGGGATCTACGGCCAGAGGAGATGGAAGGTATGTAAAAGAATTGTGATTGTTTTCCCTAAAAGCCATTTTACCTTTTCAATTCCGTTGATAAAATGTTCCAAATAAGGCTTTTGGTGATATCAAAATTTGAGATCACTGTTCAAATCTTCTTTTCAAAACAGACTCAGCTTTTAGAAGACAACGGTTAAGAAACTTTGTTCACCCAATATGTTGAGAATAATCAACTTGGGTTAGAGTTCATGATGTAAAGGCAAAGTGATACACCGTGATTGTTTTTTTTGTTGTTGGATTGTATTTAAATCTGTAGCACTTTGAGGCTTCTTGTAAATGTAAGGTGCAATAAAAAATAAAATCTATCATTATTGAGTGTAAATCTACTGAAGACTCAGCCAGCTATGGTTCTATGTCTCGTATATTTTTCACCGTTCACCTCCATTCAAAAAAATCTCTTTTGTCACAACTGTTCCCGAGCTAAGTGTCAAACTTTAAAACAGTCTGTATTGGTCTTGTTTGTTCTGTAGAGCTGCGTGAGGCGTTCAGGGAGTTCGACAAAGACAAAGACGGCTTCATCAGCTGTAAGGACCTGGGCGAGTGCATGAGGACGATGGGGTACATGCCCACGGAGATGGAGCTGATCGAGCTGAGCCAACAGATCTGTGAGTGACTCCGTATGCTGTACATACTGTAGTAGTGCAAGGATTACAATGAGAGCGGGTGTAGTTTTACTATGAAAACCAGTACATTTCTTGGTATATGACCATGTGTTTAAAAGTAAATCTAATCTTTTATACAATATATCTGCCGTCAATGAAGTGCAAAGTTTTCTAAATAAGTGGGACAAGCAAAAAAGGTCTTGGTGGTCAGCCTATTGGAGACCATTTGGAGCATTTATTGCAGATTTCATAGATGGGAAATGCTAACACTCGATGAAGCCAAACCAGTGTTTTGGTTTTCGCTCTGGCTCCCATCAACTTACATTAAAAAGCAAACTCCTCGAGCTCAATTACCGTTTGTGCTACAGTCACAATTTTGGACTTGTAAATCTGGAAATGAACCATAGGAATTGACCAATCGGATGCTTAGATTCATTAGGTAGCCTTAGCAACCACCTTAGCAACACGTCTGCCCGTGTTACGGCGCAAAGGTAACACTGCCGTAACAAATGCCCAAATAAGGAAACTGTCTCCAGCTATGCTTATGTTCAAATTGGCTTCTTCTGCTTTTGGCAAACACTATGGGTGACGTCAGAACTCGAGCAGTCCACTATAAATTGTAGTAGAGTTAAATGTGGCCATTCCATTCATGCCTCTCTTTCTGCGCATGCTTAGTTTCCTCTGGGCTAGACTTTAACCTTTAACCCCACATCCTGCATAGGTGAAATCTCGCCAAGTACCACGTCAGGAGACAGTCCCTAAGAGCTGCACCAACCTTGTCCTTATTTAAAACCTGTGTTGATTCATCAGAAAATGAACAAATGCTTTAATCTTTTTGATCATTTAATTCAGTTTAACCAATTTGGTAATTAGTCCATTGTTTAATGAGATAAAACAACAGATGGTCACTTATTGTAATGTGGCAAATCCAGATGTGGCTTAATGTGCTGATTAAACTATTAGCCCAAAACACATTGCTGTTTTAAAATGGATTTGATTAAAGGACTTTTCACATAATCCTATCTCTCCTGTGGTCCATACTCCAGGCCGTCAACTGCAGCTGAACAACTGTACGGGCTTCCACCTCATGCACGACGTCTGTGTAACATAAAACCAACTCCATAGAAATGCCTGCTGCACCAAAGTAGAGCTCAGCAGATGCAAAAGTACAGCTTTAAAGAAAAACTCAATGACGATACCACTGCTTCAGATTCAGTTCACTTCGATTCCAATAGACATTGGACACACAGACAGTACATGTATCCCTGCCACATGCACTTTTTCATGTTTTGTTGTTGATATTTCATCACATATTTTTGTATATACTATTAATATTCTGCCCCCATTAGCTCATGTGGAACTGCCTTTATCTACAATTAATGCTTCAATAGATTTAATTAACTGTTTTGATGGATGTCTCAATAAAATGTACTTACAGAGATAACTTGTTTTGCCAATTCTTCATTGCAAAACATCTCTGTCAGATTAGACAGAGAATGTTGAAACAGAATGTTTGATGAAGCCACAGATTCTCAGTTGGATCTCTGGCCTTCAATTCTCATACACACACTATAGATGTGTTGTAAACCCTTCCACCTTCATATTTAGGGAAATTGTCCCGATGAAAAGTAAACTCCCACCCCATTAGAGAACACTCTGGTTGACTCTCTGTGATAGTTAGGTCGACATTTCCTCCATCAGTAGGCATCACTCCAAAAGATGGTGCTGGAGGCATAATGACAATCAGTCTTGGGAGAGTATAAAAAAAAAAAAAAACATTTAGGCGTGCGGATCGTATTTTGCTCTTTTAGGTCAGTAAGTCCAATGTGGTTTATGTCCGCTCCTCTACCTCCAGCAGTTACTGGGTCATGGTCCTCAGATAAGTTTCAGCTCAGTGATTAAGTGGCACTTTTCCAGGGCAAAGCTATACTCTTAATTTGACCGGGTTAGCCTCTGCTGCCCTAAATAAGCATTTATCCACTGCTACACTTTCATAAAGGTCTGTATAACTGAACAATGTGTTTAGAATGATTTTAAAAATGTGAAATGACAATTATTCTGACTTCATTCAAGAGTAAGGGGACTATATGGTTAGTGTTTTTTGTGCAGACACTAAACATTTTAACTAATAATTTCATTACAATAGGTTATTAATATAGTAAATAAAGTATTTATCTGTCATAGAGACATGATTGAGTTATAAATATCTAAATGAGATGAGTTTCCCCCTCTCTCATACTATGTTCCAGTTAAAGCTGTTGCACCTGATTTTCCTACTGCAAAAAATTGCATATTTGCTCAATACACCACCACAAACTTTCAACACATTTAACATTTGATGTGTTACAATAGTATTTGCAGACAAAATCTGCTATATCTTGTATAGAAAACGGTTTACTTATAAATGTGCTATAAAAAATAGTGGATTGGACTCCTATGAAAAAATGAGCATGCAACTTCTAACTCAACTGTTTATCCTGGATGGCACTTTCCATGTCTAACCCTAAATTCCCATCCAGTACCAAGTGAACAGACCGAGTGCTGATGTCACACACTGTTTGCCGAAACAGGGTTCGCTCCACACTGTAACAGGGGCTGACCATGGATAACTGTTGCTAAGATGGTTGCTAAGGAAAGCTGGAATTCCTTGGCGATGGTGGTCTGCAGCACTTAGGGAAATAAAGTCCTGTTCATCTAGTGCAAGATTATAAGTGATACAATTCAAAGTGGCCCACAGGGCGCACTATAGTAAACCAGATTGGCAAGAATATACCCAAATGCCACAGACATATGTTATAGATGTTCTCAAACTCCCTGTAATCACACACACACATGTTTTGGTCTTGTCCTGGACTAGAAAATTATTGGAAGTCATATTTTAAGAGCCTCTCAGACATATTTGGAATTGAAATTGAACTGTGCCCTCTCATTTCTATATTTGGCATACCTACAGTAGTGCAGGAGTAATGTTGCCAGCAAAAAACAAAAAACACGTAATCTCTTTCACTTCATTCATTGCTCGACGTAGAATACTTCTCCCATGTAAGAATGCGTTACCACCATCACCAACATCCTTGCTACAAGACACAATGTCCTTTATGAAATTGGAAAAGATTAAATATTCATTTAGGCGAGCACAAGAACATCCCTTACTCCAATACTTTAAGTCTATTACCTCATTATCTGTTGACTAGGGAGAGACGGGAGGGAAAGTGGAGAGAAGAAAGAGGAGAGGTAGACATCTTAAATCCCATGTGTTTTAAAAATAAAAATCAAGTTTTGATTCACTTATTTTTTCTCTAAAGGCTTGACTGAGAATTTGGGGGGCTGTCCCGCATTCTCGCATAGTGTGGGTTTTTTCTGCTTGCAGGTTGTGTTTGGATTGGCATCCATGTGTCCTGCTCACATGCTAGGTTTGTGGCCCCTAGCAAAGCCACTAGTATACAGTGTACATGATATTGGATTCTGTCTTTTTTTTTTTTTATATGTATATATATATATATACTGGTCATTCTGGTGGTAGAACAGGGAATTACAGGTCGAATGAACGTTTTACCCTCCATACATATTTACATATATTTTCCAACTTAAGATATTGATTGACATTATAAAACATTATGAGTGAAATAAGTCTCAATGCTGTCTAATGGCCAAAAATAATACGTAATATTTTCTCTTTTTAAAAAGATTGAACGTAGCCTTCTCTTTCTCTGCAGGTGGGGGCAGGGTGGACTTTGAGGACTTTGTTGAGCTGATGGGTCCAAAGATGTTAGCCGAGACCGCGGATATGATCGGAGTGAAGGAGCTCCGGGATGCCTTCAAAGAGGTATTACTAGTCCACCATGTTCACATGCATTCAGCTCCTACTGCTGCTCATAGATAAAATATAATAATAATGTAACGGTTCTACTCAGTTTGACTCAGACGGTGACGGTCAGATCAGTCTGGGGGAGCTGCGGGAGGCCATGAAGAAGCTGATGGGAGAACAGCTGCATCACCGCGAGATCGACGAAATCCTCAGGGACGTGGACCTCAATGGGGACGGAGAGGTGGACTTTGAAGGTGAGGGTCCTTGAGCACGTGTGTCCAGACTTGTCAGACCGGGACCCCAAACTAAGTGTGAAAACGACTCACGATGTCCACAATAGTATATAATTGAAAGTTTTCCTTTCAAACATCAAAACATGCTAAAATCATTATAATGCTGTTTTTTTATATATTGTTTCACTGTTGGAGCCAGAGTTCCAGCTCAACAAACATCTCAGAAAATCAGGCAGGTTTTCCATAGTTTTCCAAAAAAACATGACCACATATAATTATAGGTTTTATACCTTTTACTTGACAATGTTTATGCCAAGTAAAATAGTTTAGACACCCCTGCTCTAGACCACTAGTTCCCAAAGTTGGGCTCATGAGATGACACAGCCCATATATTTGATTAAATGTAATCCAACAACACAATATCAAAAGACTGTTGGTATTGAAATATTTTGTGTCTCAGAAATTAAACTATTCTAAACTTGGATGATACTTCCACATTTTAACAATTGGGTTTTAGAATTGTTGAGCATCACTGAACTAGTTTCTTTTGTTTTTCTTAAGATTAAAACTAGCATTCCTTTATTTCTGCAGAGTTTGTGCGAATGATGTCTCGCTGATGCTTCTCCAAACTCTGCTGGACTTCAGCTGCTTTATCTTTGCCTCTTGTACACATTGTTAGTGTTTAAATAAATCATCCTTTTGATGTACTTACTTTGACCAATGTAAACGGATGTTACCAGCCAAATATAGAGTGAATGTGCTTCAGACGGACAGCTGTTCATCACATTTGAATGCCAGCATTTTGGACTGGAATTAAACATGAGCCAAGGCGACTCCTTTATGTAAAATGTCTGTTATTTTTTTGTTCAGAGATTATGTACCCAGAGAGATTATGTTCTCAGAATGTGGGGATTTAGTGCAATAAAACTGTAAATCTACTAAAACTCAGTATTCTGCATACTTGGTACAGTGTCCACTAAGGACTACCTCCAAGTGGTATGATCAGGTTTGACACTATAGCATGGTGTTAGCACTTTAAATGAATGTAGATCATGTAAATATATCTTCCTCTGCTGAACTGTAGTGATGATATGCTCTCCTGAAATGGACTGAACGGCTCCTTTCAAAAACACTAAACCCTGAAATCCTTTGCTCCGTGGAGAATCTTGGATAAATGGGGATCATATCAACTTGTTCCTAATGTTTAAAAAGTAACTTCTGTTCTGTATTAATGAAATCATATATTACCATTAAAATATGTTGAAAAGACTGAAAAGAAGTGTGACTGTATTAATGTTGATTGGGTTAGTCATGTGATTTACTGAAGTGTTTCTACAGCAGAAATAATAAAACATAACATACCTTATATAGAGGCCTTATATACATTATGGACTGTTCCATTATCTATCTGACAGCATTTTATCACCTCCAGGCCTATCTATGTGGAGTTTGCATGTTATCCCTGTCTTTGAGTAGGTTACTTCCAGGTGCTCTGGTTTCCCCTATCAATAAAAACATGTAAAATAGTCCCCCAAAACACCCTTTATGGCCCCACTCCTCTCTCTGGGGCCACTCCCCTAAAAAAAAAAGAGTCCCCTCAGTAGGACTTTCCTGGTTAAATAAAAGTATATAATAATACTAATAAAACACAATCACTAGCATATGATAATGCAATTCTGCTCTCCTTGTTAAATAATAGTGTTAATGTGACAGGTACATTCATCAAATATAGATTAAGATGAAGAGATCCTTTATTTGTTCCACAGTGGGGAAATTCCAGTGCTGCATCACCGGTTACAGAACAGTAGAAATGAGCAGCACAAAGCACAAGATAAATGAACTATAACTCTACATTAAATTAAATTAAATATCTAATTTTAGCATATAAATGAAGCAAAACCGATCTAATCTAAATATATAGCTGTAAAATTTGGGGAAAACCTATAAAAATCCAGATTTTGCACACAAATGACCCCAAAACACAAACCTCCTCGTCTCTTTGCTGTCTGACATTTCTATTACACCACCAGGAGAGGGCGCTTGTGTCACGTATATGGATACTGTACGTTGTATCTGCACACGGATTAAACAAGATATATTTTTCTGACGCAATTAACAAGATGACAAGCAGAATAATCAGGTAAGTTTATCCAGCACATTAAGTTATTGTAAAATGATGAATCTCCTCTTGACATTTTTCTAAGCTTGAGAAGCATTCTGCAATGTAGATGTTGCCTAATGAACATATACCTCCAGTTATACAGACCAAAACATTCCTTTTTAGTCCACACTTCCTTATCCACGTGTTCTTTACAATCACACCCACTCGAACTGAGGGGGTGAGGTCAGATATGTTTGTGTGGGTGAGAAGCAGCAGTATACTGTACACATGTGTAAACAGTGCGTAGTATATTCTCTCCATTCTCAGGTATCGACTCCCAGTTATGAGGCTGGTCTCTCTGTGCATGCGCCAAGTAGCTCAAATCATGCAGGGCTCACACCTGCCTGGAACTGCTTACGTGAGTGTCATGTGGTTAGGCTAGATCTGTGTGGCCGCAGAGTGACGGCATGTTTCCGCAAACTTCAAAAATCTTCAGCGGTTAAACAGGTCTGAGGCCTTGGTAAATAAGGGAGTGTCAATAAAACGGTATCAACGGTTCTACTAACTTTTGATGCTATACTTGTTTAGAGGCTGTGGAGCCTCGTGTGTGAAACGTCCAAGATGGAGATATTTCAAATATAAAATGTGAGTGAAAATCGCTTGTTTCAGTTTTTTCCCATTTTCAATAGAAAAATCATTGACTATATTCTTTTGTTTATTTTTACATGAAAAATATATGAACTGACTTTTGCTCTTTGAGTGGGCTATTTTAACAGAAAAATATGTTTCGTTTTAAACTATTTGTTTGTATTAAGAGTCTTAATGTTTAGGAAAATAGCCCTAACGGCAAGAACCGCCCTGAAGTGTTTTGCTTGCTCTGTTCTTCCTAAAATGTTCTTCATTTTGCTCCACCCAAGTAAAACATATTTTTTAATTTTATTTTCCATTTTGTTTTAATTTGACCAAAGCACCCTTTTTCTTCTTGTGACTAAAGCCTGGTTCACACGGCAGGATAATTAGGACGATTTTGGACCCGATTTACCCCTACGACAATCGTAAGAACGCTCCAAATATCATAACAAAATATCTGAATGGATTTTCCTGCCGTGTGTGGTGTGTTAAGACTGCGCTCGTCGCTCGGAAGGACTTCGGGACTGCTCCGATCTCAATATCGGGGATATCCAACATGTTGGATTGTTTTGGCCCGATTTCTCTTGTGTGTGGTGTCCCCTGAGGACAGACGAGCGCATTGCCATGACTGCGGCGTGTAGCCAATCAGAAGACGAGACGGTGAGGAAACACCGTAAAAAAACAACTCGCCTTCATATGACGATGAAGCAAGTATAGTCCATGCTCGTGTTGTCTACACTTCTTTGACCATCGCCTTTTCTTTTGATTATGTCTTTTCTCTGCTAAAAACAAACTATCAGCACTGCATCCTCTTCGTCCACCATGATTGTCTACTCTGAAGTCACGCTTGATCTCGAGAGATTTTGTGAGATTTTTGTTTGATCTAGGAATGCTCGGGGAAGGAAATCGGTTCGTGTGTGATGTGTGTGGTTTTGTCGTGTGGCTGCGCACCACACACTGTACGACCAAAGTGGTTAGACCCATGATTTTTTATCTCCGTGTGTGAGGTCTCACATGCAGAAAAAATCGGCTGACAATTGAGAACCAGGCTTTAAGATAATTAGAAAAAAATAAAAAATTAAAGCCGCAAGCGGCGTCAAACGGCCCTCCCCGCACCGCGCAACTCCCCGCACCGCGGGACTCGCCATACCGTGCGAGCCATTGCACTGCGCAAGCCACCGCATGCGTGAGTTGCGGGGTACAAATCAGACTTTATACATGTGCTCCTGTTTACACATACAATCAGTGAGTGTGTCCATTTATATACAGTCTCCATTGGACGACCATATGACGCACTATCTTCCTAAAGCCCTGATGGGAGCAACATTGTGTATTTTGAATGTCTATGATCAATGATTGTGTGTCTCTATTGAAAACTAAACCTCATTCTCCTCATGTAACACTGGACTCAGTCTGTAGTGGGCTATTTTAACAGAAAAATATGTTTCGTTTTAAACTATTTATTTTTGCAGCAATTTCATGTTTTACACTTTCAGTTTACCCAAACTTCGAATGTTGAACAATCAAATCAAATTTTGAGCAAATCAGACTTTGCATGTGCAAACATTGGTCATTTACTTTGAATAATAGCGCCCCCTACAAATATTATTTTTTAGTCTTATACCAAATACATCAAAATAATTAATTTGTTGCCAGAAAAAGAATAATAATGGTTTTTGTGCATGTTCAGTGGGTCAAATATGAGATCAAACAACAGAAAAACGCTGTGTCCCCTATGTAAAAGTTTTACTGAGTGCTAATGAGACAATGTTATTGTTCACACTTTCAGGTGACCTCAGCCCAGGAGATGAACAACCGAGTCAAGTTTAGTGCAAATCAGACTTAGTAAATGCCATTCTCACCCATGCAAAACTTGACTCAGTCTGTAGGGGGCGCTAATGCTGCAATTTAATGTTTTACTCTTTCAGTTTACCCAAACCCAAAAGCTGAACAACCGAAATTTGGTGCAAATCGGACTTGGTTTGTGCAAAAGGGAGCTATGTTTCTATCGTCAAAATGAGGAAAAAAGGTCACATTTGGCCGCTATGCTGCTCAAACAATGTTTCACTGATCAAAATTCCCTGAAGTCATTTTGAAGGTACATGTGTTGAGATGATGTGGAGCGAATTTGAGGCAAATCTGTGAAACGGCCGAGGCTGGTTTGATGTTTGTGCGAGGGGTACATTTGCCATAGATAATGAATGGGGAGCGTTTGTCATCGGCATGGCAACAGGGTAAAAAAATAACCTGTTGACTTTTAGAATCAAGACGTCAAAACAGATTTATGTGCAAAATTTCAAACATTTTGAAAAAACTAAATGTGAAAATTCCCATATAAAACTTTGAAATAGTCTGTAGGGGGCGCTAGTGTGTCAATTTGAATCATTTTACTTTCAAATGACCTAGACCCTAGAGCTGAACAATGTATTAAAGTTGTGTGCAAATCAGACTTTGTTTGTGCAAACAGGAGCAAATTTAATATTGTCAAAAATGGCCAAAAAAGGTCACATTTTGCCGCTCCGCTGCTCAAACAACGTTTCAAGGATCAAAAATCCCTTTAGTCATTTTGAAGGTACATGTGTTGAGATGATGTGGAGCGATTTTGAGGCAAATCGGTGAAACGGCCGAGGAGGAGAAGATTTCCAACCAACATGGAAAATTGAACAGCAATAATTTTCATACATTTTGCAGTGAAATTTATGGGCTTCCTGTTTGTCAGAGGGCGGGGCCAATATAATATTTTGTCCGTCATGGACCGCCACCACTTGCATTCACCTTAGTGAAAGCAATAGGCCCTTACCCCGTTCGGGGCTCGGGACTAATAAATCACGGACAAAATGGATTGGTTCAATGTTACCAGATTTGTGGTTATTTTATGTGTAGAAC